GCACACATGAGCAGGGGACAGGGGCACAGGAGATAGAGAATCTTCAGCAGGCTCCATTCTCAGTACAGAGCCTGATGTGGGGCTCAATCCCATGACCCTGGGATCACGACCTGAGCCAAAATCAAGAGTCAGATGCTCAACTGACTGGGCCACCCAGTCGCCCCTGGAGTGTACAGTTTTTGAGTCACATTGTAAAAAAGCATTCAGCCAGTTTCATGACCTTATTCTTTATAGAAATTTCATATTAAAAAATTGGTTTCAAAACGCAAATAAATATCAAAATAAGATATCAACTCACACCCCTTCAGATGGCTACTATCAAAGAAGCAGAAAATAACAAGTATTGGCAAAGACATAGAGAAATTAGAACTCCTAGGCTCTATTGGTGGAATGTAAAATGGTACAGCCAGTATGCAAAACAGTATGATGATTCCTCAAAAAGTTAAAAATAGAATGATCATATGACCCAGTAATTTCACTTCTGGGTATACACATAAAGAATTGAAAGCAGGGAGTCAAACAGATATTCACATACTCATGTTCACAGCAGCATTACTCACAGTAGCCAAAAGGTAGAAGCAGAGCAAGCGGCCATCAGTGGGGGAACAGAGAAACAAAATGTGGTGCATACATATCAGGAGATATTATTGAGGAAAGAAAGTCTGACACAAGCTACAAAAATGGATAAACATTGAAAACATTATGCTAAGTGAAAGAAGCCAGTTATGAAAGAATGAAGACTGTGATTCCACTTACATGACGTACCTAAAGTAGTCAAATTCATAGAGACAGAAAGTAGAATGGTGGCTTCCAGAGACTGGGGGAGGGAGGAATGGGGAGTTATGGTTTGATGAGTATGGAGTTTCAATTTGGAAGGGTGGAAAAAGTTCTAAAAATGGATATTTGTGAAGGTTGCACAACAATGTGAATGTATTTATTACCACTGAACCGCATGCTTAAAAATGGTTATAATGGTCAATTTTATGTTACATATATTTTTTTACTGCAATAAAAAATCCTGCAAAATTTAAAAATTTTTTTAAAATAAAGGAATTAGGAGCACCTGGGTGGCTCCATCGATTAAGTCTCCAACTCTTGACTTTAGCTCAGGTCATGCTATCACAGTTCTTGAAATCAAGCCCCATGTCACTGTCAGCACAGAGCCTGCTTGGGATTCTCCCTCTCCCTTTCTTTATCTCTCTACCCCCCTCTCTCTCACAAGATAAACATTTAAAAAAATAAAGGAATGAAGTACTATTAAATGCAACAAACTGGATGAGTTTTTTCTGAAAGATGTTCATTAAGTTTCTCAACATCTGCCATGCAGTACATACGTAGTTTCTGGAAATTAGCATCTAGAGCCTGTGAAAATACATTAGCGATAGCCATCGTGGGGATAGTTTCTCCCCATCCTTACTCTAAACTGGTACACACCCAAGATCTTCCTCATGCCAGAATAAAGGCAGTGTTAGACCCAAAAATGGAATGTTTTTGTTTCAGTGCTCCCTCTAAGATACAGTTCACTTACTTTTATATGTTTCTAGTGTTTGTGAAGGGAGTTAGCTTAAGAAACTAGGACTTTCAACATCCAGAAAGAGTTGGCAGGGCAGGTTTGCCAGTGGTGTCTGTGCTGAGAGTGGCTTAGCCAGTCCTCTTCAGAATTGCTGTCAGAATCCATTCGGGAAACCATCAAGGAAGGCAGACTTCAAGTTGTTGTTTTGACTGACTTCTCTCCTTGGTAGGATCCTAAAGACTCCAGGACAGACATGGCTTTCATCCCTAACTACTTCTCCTTCTTCTTCTTCTTCTTCTCCTTCTCCTCCTCCTCCTCCTCCTCCTTCTTCTTTTCTTCTTCTTCTTCTTCTTCTTCTTCTTCTTCTTCTTCTTCTTCTTCTTCTTCTTTCAGGGAGAGGGTAAGAGAGAGCATGACCAGGGAAAGAGTAGATGATCTCAAGCAGGTTCCATGCCCAGAGCAGAGCCAAATGTGGGGCTTTGTCTCATGGCTGTGAGATCAGGACCTGAGCTGATAACAAGAGTCACAACTGACTGAGCCACCCAGGTGGCCCTCTAATTCCTTTTTCTGTAGTACTAATTGAGGCAAGATTTAGGCCTGATGTCCTCTTCTGTATTCTTAAAGGTGTGGAACGGGGCAGGGGAGGGAGGGGAGGCAGTGAGAGGAAAGTCTTCTAATTGCACCCAGTTACCTCATGCTCCTGCCAAATTCAACAGCTTGCTATTCGCAAAACACTTTTCCCACCTCCCTGCATTTGTGCATGAGCTTTCCTTCACCAGGAGGACCCTTTTGCCCTCTCTCTCCAATCTCCACACGTCTAAATCCAACCCTCTCCTCCATGATTCCTTACCTAACCTTCACAGTTGTCACATGATTCCTTCCTCTTCCAGAGCCGCATAGTGTTTTAGTGATGTCCAGTTTTTGGCATTTAGCATTTTCTACCTTGTAGTTTATGTATTGATATTTTTACCTTATCTCCCTTACTAAACTCCTTCAAAACAAGGGTCTCTTGCTGATTTACCTTAGAACCCACTCCGGCCACACAAAATGTTAGTATAGCATCTTTCTCATCATAGGAAGTCAGTAAATATCCCACAAATTACTGAATAAATGAATAAACCTATGGATGGATGCATGAAATCCTATCAGAGAAACCCAGCAAGCCTGGAAAAAGCTGTGCCACCAACCATTAGTATTTCAAACGCTCCTGCTTCAGGCCTTGCCCTGCCCCTCTCACCTCTGCAGGAAATAGAGGCTATGATGGGAGGATATGTCATCATCTTCAAACCTCTGTCTCTAGCCCTTGAGCCTCTGAAACAGTAAGGCCCATGGCCCCTCTCTGTACACATCCATCCCCGTGCCTCACAGTCACTTCAAACATGAAAGCCCAGAATCCACCAGTTAAGGAGGCTGAGTATAGATCACAACTTTTCCAATTGTTCCCTGGAGCCCTGTGGTTCCAAGAAGGAAACTGGGATGGCACACCTTGGAATGCTCCCCACCCCCACCCCCCACAAGGGCACTTGAATTCAAAGCACTGAAAAGTTCTGTGTCTTCCTCAAAACAAACACCAGGTGTCTCCATCACCCCGAGACATCCGCCATTACCACTGCCTCAGAATCTCCATCAACATGCTGTCACTCAGCTGTAATCAAGCCCTGGAATCAAGTCACGCTGCAGGAAACTCCCCTAACTGCCAGTCTACTGGCCAGTTTCTGCCAAAGACAGACACGTCCCCCTCAGGCACGTGCTCAGCCACTCCCTCCAGAGGTTCCTCCCTGTCCCCTGGACTGCAGGGTCCCCTCCACACTTCCTCAGATGTTCCCTCACTTTGCCCAGGACAAAGTCACAAAGAAAATGTAGACTAGTGTATATTTGCCCAAAACTATATTCTGCAAGTTAATTTTGCAAGGCATTCGCTTAGCCTCAGAGGTAGTACAAGTCCTCCAAGTGTGAGTATACGCCTACCTAAGAGATAGAAACTGGAGCTGCCAGGTAAGATAAATGCGTTGCTGTGGGGGCAATCCACAGGGACAGGGAGAGTCAGGGCTAGAATCCAGATTTTTTGCTGCTCTCCCCACCACTGTAAACACGGCTAACTTAAGTTGACCAGCTCTCTCATTTCAGGGAGA